ATTTAAAAAAAAAAATTTGAAATTATAACTTCTGCTTTTTTTAATGAAAATTTATTACAAAAATAACGTCTTTTAAATCCGTGTTGCGGTTCTGTTAATAAACATAAACAACAAACTTATATATTTTCAGATAATATAAGCAGTATAATTCATTTAAAAAAAATAAAAAATTAATTTTATAATATTTTAAAAAATTTTGAATTATGCCCAATTTTTTGAGGTTTTGCACCACTGTACACAGGTTGGAATTGGTTTGAAGGTTTGTCTGGTCGTATGATAAAATTGGGTTTATTTTAAGTAAAGAAATGTCTTCTTGTTAAAGTTGGTTAAATATTTAATTCATAGTTATAGAGTCTCGATTGATTACAAAACTATTTTCAATAATTTCAAAATTCAAACATTGATTTTTTGAGCATGTACACATGATCACAATATGCCCCTCCAACTCCTGAAAGAAGACTTGCTGCTTTTATACCCATCATATATGACTTTTTTATACCCATCATATATGACTTTTTTATACCCATCATATATGACTTTTTTATACCCATCATATATGACTTTTTTATACCCATCATATATGACTTTTTTATACCCATCATATATGACTTTTTTATACCCATCATATATGACTTTTTTATACCCATCATATATGACTTTTTTATACCCATCATATATGACTTTTTTATACCCATCATATATGACTTTTTTATACCCATCATATATGACTTTTTTATACCCATCATTATACCCAGCTCTTCTATGTCAGTATTAAAGGCAGACAATGATTAAAGAGTTAAAGAGTTAAATTAATGATTAAAGAGTTTCTCTTGATTTTTTTCCCATTTGAAGGTTCAGCGCTTTGTGACTCAATGGGGTATTTTGTGACTTTTGCAACCATATTAAGAAACCTGCTTCTGTTTCAAGTAAAAATGGACAAAACATTGTCAGTATTATAATACTAGTGTTAACATTATCTTTTTAAATAAAAATTGCATGGCTTCCACTACCATCAAATCCAAACTTTATTTTCATTAGTTTATTTTCAATGTTTATATCTAAAAAAATTTTCTCTAATATCCTTTGCATCGTCAGTTTAATAGCCTGAAATAGACTGAAGTAAACACAAGAATAAAGATCAAGATAATTCATAATAATTGGTGTTACTTCAGGTTATTTTCTTCCAAGATGTTTCCAACTAGGCAATATATTAAAACTAAAAGAGGTTTTTTTTTTGTTTGTATATGAATGCCTTCCAAGAGCACAAACTGTTTAAATTAACCTTTCTTTAATTGAACTTATTGAAAGAGTTATTCATTAACATACTCTTCAAGCTAGGTTTTGCTGGTAAGCTCCTTACCAGCATTGAATTGTATGCCAACATAGCCCATTTTTTTAAGTTTGTTTTTCTTCAGATGTTTTCCTTGCCAGCTATTCTGAACTATTGTTTTTTGTGCAAATGTCAATTCATCGGAGCCAAGTGCCTTAGCAATTACCAGTATACAACCTGCTATATTTACAGAAATAGTTTTTGGTTGTTTATTTTCCTCAGCAATGAAAATTTCAAATAAGTCAAATTCAGTGAGATAAATATTTTTGTTGATTAATTGTCTAATAACTTTTTAAACAAAATGATTTAAACTTAAAATAATATAATTCAAAATATAAACAAGTTAATGTGATATGTAAAAATATTATATTATTACTATATACACCACAAAGCACTCAGTTTTGATTTTAACTCTTGCGATTCGTTTATTTTAAAACAGATTTCAATGCTGCAATATTTTCTTTCATTAATGGTTGTACAACTAGATTAAAATTGATTAAAAAAAAAAATTAAATATAAAAGAGGGCTAAAGGAGGGGAGGGGTGGGAGGTAGAGGTGTTGGTCAAAATTAGGTCCTAATCCTTTTTTTAATTTCTAGACATAAACTTTTACTGAACACATCTTCCCCTTATAAAAATATGTCCAAAATATTGTAAAACTATTTACATTAATATTTTTCAATATATTTTACAAAAATTTAAACTAAAGGGGAGGGTCATTATTTTAAATTTTTGTTTAAAAGTGCTAATTTGGCACAATTTAGTTAAAAAGCATCTTACTCATCTTTGTTATAGGAGTTTAAAAATATATGGGTTTACTAGTGCAAACTAAGCACTTTTTGAGATATATTTTTTCTGATAAATAAATTAGTTAAAAACACTAAAATTTTGCTAAATTTTAGTTGTTTTATTAGGTATAACATGTAAAAAAATTTTGTGCTATAATCTATGAAGTTAACATTCACATTCCCATAAACTGCAGTCTAAGATTGTCTCTACAGACAATTACCACACTAACACTGCTTATATAGTGACATTTTTTCTTATATAATGCCAAAAATAACTTTTACATATCAATTATACCTATTACATATCTTTTGCAACAAATTTACATTATTCAAACTTGTATATTTCCTGAACAAATCATGCTTTTAAATTAATTTTTTTTTTAATAAATTGAAAATTTATTTGGCTTTCAATAACAACTAACTTATTTATTTTGGTAACATTGATTTTTGAGCAATGTCCACTGTTTGGCCCACTGTGCATACTGTTTCAGCAATACCAAAACAGATCAGGGTTATTATCTTGTATATATGTAGGTGTGAGTTTAGGAAAAGTATAAACAATAACATAAAATTTATGGATATTCCAAAAAATGTCTCAAAACACTGAGCGCAAGTGTGATATGATTTGGTTAAAATATACGTAAGTTACTTTTCTAGAAAGAAAGGACCATAGAGCAGTTTGCAATGCATGTAGGAAAGAAATGGAAGGTCAAGTTCAAACTATGCGTGACCATATAGAGAAATGCAAAGAATCACAACCCTTAGAAGATCAACAACCTTTTGAAAGTAATTAATTAAATTACTGCTTCCCGTTTATAAATTATTTACTTTTCTTAAAATTTGAACATTTAAATTGATAATTTAAAAAAATATATATTTTTATTACTCCAAATTACTCCACATGTATCCACATATTAATTTAAATTAACATACAGCATATTAATTTTCAGGTAATTAATCATCAACACCATTAAAAAAAATAAAATGAAAAGCTCTCCTTCCACTTCAAATTCAGTTGGTAAATGTTTTAACATTTTTTTTTTAAGTTTTTCACACAAGCGACAAAGAGAAAGATTTGTTTGATCTGCAATTCGGTATATTTATATATAGTACAAACTCTAGCTTTAGAACAGTTGAACATAAAGAGTTTAAAAAATTTATCAATATGCTTCATTCTGGTTACACTCTACCTAATAGAACTCAAACTGGCCAAGCAATATTTGATAAGGTTAACACAGAAGAAATTAAAAAAAGTAATGTATTGAATGGGAAAATTGTAGCAATGACTTTAGATGGATGGAGTAATATGCATAACGAACCAATAATTTATGTCGCTGTAATTGTAGATAGTTTTAACATTTTTGTAGAAACAATTAGTACTTCTGTTCATTCCCATACTGGTGAATATCTTACACAAATGGCAAGAGAAGCAACAGAACTGTAACACTTAAATTTAGATGCACAGTAAAAAGTGTTGTGACTGATGTCAGTGCAATATTGAAGCTAATATGAAATCAATGCGACAAGTATTGTCACCTGAAGGAGATATAATAATAACTTATGGGTGTACTGCTTATGTGCTAAATTATTAATTCATGATAAGTGATTTCTCTTTTTGAGAAAACAACAAAACTGAGCAGATAATTCCAACTAGGCATTACAGGATTACATAAAAAACTATACCTAGCTAAATTCCTGGTAATCTCAATGCAAACTCTGTGTTCACAACCCCCCAGAGCACCAACCAGACTATTAACTGTTAATGGACTGAGAGTAGTTTTGATACTTCATTATAATGAAGTTCTTAAAAATTTTAAAATATTTGAAACTTAGCTAGATTGATTTAAAATTTTAACTTTGTATCTGTGGCAATAACTTATAATAAAAATTTTGTATCTGTGGCAATAACTTATAATAAAAACTTTGTATCTGTGGCAATAACTTATAACTTGAACCTGTTCAAACTGTTTAATCTGTATTCTTTTGTAATATTATTTAAAAACTTTGGCATATAAAATTTGCCGAATGGTCACACACGAGCAGTGAACGCCTGAGGGAAGAAATGAAGTACATTAGAATAAAGGAGAATTATTTATTAGACAAAGCATATTTTGACAGTTGTCAAGACAAAAATAAAGATTAATTAGAGGAATATTTAAAAATAAATAAGACAGGCTATACACCCACAACAATAATAACAATAAAAATAAATTTAAAAAAATAAAAAAAATTGTTTTATAAACACCAATATGAACGAAGATATATATCACCAGACAAAAACATGTAAAACAAAAAACGGATCACAAAATAAAAAAATCTGATAACAACAATGAGAGGCATTTAATAATGGAAAAAAACATTAATGCTAATGTGTAAACATAATTTGTGTAGTGATAAAGTAATAAACATCTCCTCAAAGTCGCGTCTATTATTACTGGCGTTTCGATGAGGATCAGCATTTATAACTAGTTTATCCCATCAGACAAATGTCATTGCCACTTATGCTTTACCCCGCGACTGTTCCTGTTCAAGCTGTTTAATCTGTATTCTTTTAAGGTATTTAAAAACTGTAAACAGAATGTTTACATAAATTATGAGCTTCAATTGGATTCAAATACCAGATGTGTCCACCATGCAGTGAGAGTCATTCAGATATAATGATCTGTCATGAAACTTTAAAGCTTTACATTTGCTAAAGCTGAAATCCAACAACTTAACTTAATTATCTATTTTTTCTTATTTTGCGTGGAAACTAAAAATTCCACAAATAACACATAATTTCACGAACAACACATACTTTCATAACACATACTTGAAAAGACACATAAAAAATACATATGTACTTTTACTCATGCGAATAACAAAATAACACAAAATGCATACTTTCTCTTGTAAATAACGGAACAGCACCATTGTTTTATCCAGCACTGTTTCAACATCCTGCTCAGATAACTATTTAAAAAAAAAAAATTTTTAACATAACAAAATAAATTTTTTATAAAATTTGTTTATAACTTCTAGTAAGAGTAAGCAACATACTCCCTTGGATCCCTTTTTAAGCTTGTCATCAATAAACAGTGAAAGATATTCAGGTGATTTGGAATTCAAATTCAAAAAGTGTTCAAAGTCCTGAGCATATAAAAGATAAAACATTAAAAAACAAAAACATAATCTGTCGAAAAAAAACAGATGATTACTTACAACACCTAAACAAGTAGAATTATCTAGGCAAACTAAGGCAAAACAATATCAACAAACAAGTTAATACAAAATCAAATATACCCCAGATACAGTTTGTTTGAAGAGCACTGCTTGGTTAAAGGACTTTTCTAAGAACATATTAAATCTTTCTTTGAGATCCAATAATTTCTAAAGAAAAATATTCCACTAATTATGAAACATAATTTGAACGATTCTTTAGAAACTAAAGATACAAAATTTGTTATTTAATAGAATTTTCTAAAAAAAATTTAACACTACATTTTTATTATTTGTTGCTATGTACTTTGCTATAACGATTAGTAACTATAATGTTAAAGGTATTCACTACCAATTTTGTGAGTCATTTTCCTGACAACCCTAATCATTTACCTTTACTCATTGATTTATATCTTGTCTCTGATCCTAGCTTGTGTTCATTTTCTTCTTTTTCTTCATTAGGTGGTTCTGACCAAACAATGATCTCTTTAAATCTTTCATCTTGTACTTCCTTTTCGAACTCACCCTATTATTGCATTACTTACTACTATGCTAAAGCTGAATGGGATTTTTTTTGTAATTTTCTTTGTGATGGGCCTTGGGCTGATGTTTTTTCTCTTTCAGCTGAAAAATGCGCCTCCTATGTAACCTCCTGGATTCAGGCAGAGATATATTTTTTTTCCTTCTTATTATATTTTATTCCTTCTCAAAGGTTCCAAGTCAAGCCTCAACCTACTCTATGGTTTTCACCTTCTTGTGCAGCTGCTATATCATATTGTAATCTTTTTTTTTCATATTTTTTAAAAGAACAACTCTCTTGAGAAAAAACAGCTATTTATTATCAAGAAATTGCTAATTATTATCAAGAAATACAGCTAATTATTATCAAGAAATCAATGTAAAAAAGTGCTGTCTAATGCTATACTCCATTATTCTTAGTTCACTAAATCTCAGATCTTATCCTAAAAGTTAGGCCTTTTGGAAGGCCTTTTAGAGACTTTTAGAAAATCTTCAGCATTTTTATTAACAAGGGTAGGTGTAACATTCTATCTCTCATTCATGGGACTGATCTTATTATCTCTTCCAAAGATAAGGCAGAACTATTTGCAAAGAACTTTTTTTCTAATTCAACTCATGAATCTTATGGCCTATCTCTTTCTTGCACTTTAATTAAACAGGTAAACCTATTGTTAGACATTCAAATCACTACAGCTTCTGTTGCTAAAGTCATATCTCAATTAAACTCTTCTAGGGCTTATGGTTTTGACAACATTCCTGTCAGTCTTACAAAATTGTTCTCCAGAACTCTCTTCAATTCTTTCTAAAGTATATAATAAATGCTTGACTGAGTCTTGTTTTCCTGCCTGCTGGAAAATGGTATCTGTTATTCCAGTCTTCAAAAACTCCAAAGAACATTCTGATCTCTTCAATTATTGTCCAATCAGTCTTCTTTCTGTTATTAGCAAGGTCTTTGAGTCTTTGATCAAAAAATTTGTCACATCCCATCATTAATCAAATAACTTATTGTCAGACAATACCATTTTCGATTCTTTCACTCTAAAGATGACTTGCTAACTGCTGTGAGTGAAAGATTTTATCGTGCATTGGATGGAGGCCGAGAGGCTAACCGCTTTATTAAAGTCATCCTCGAAGGCTAACAATTTTTTTCAAGGTTTTACTCTTGGCCCTGTTTTGTTTCTTATCTACATTTTTTATCTTCCCAACAACCTTAAATCTAAAGTAGCTCTTTTTGCTGATGACTAAACTTTAAACTCCTGCCTTAACAAAAAAGCATCTCTTTTCAATCCTTAAAAAAGGCAGCCAATCTTGAATCTGACCTCACTTCTGTAACAGATTGGGGCTCACAGTGGTTTGTAAATTATAACTCCAACAAAACTCAGTTATTTACTGAAAACAACTATTGCAATACTGTGGACATTCCTGCATTAATGAATGGCAACACTCAACAGGCAACATCTCATTGAGTTCTCTTCTTTAACTCTTCTTGAATTATCGTTTACTACTAACCTTTCATGGAAACCATATATACAATCGATTGCTAAAATAGCATCTGTTAAGGTTGCTTCTCTTTATCATGCTCGCCTTTTTTTTTTTCCTGATTCCATTTTCTACCTCTACAAAATCTCTTATTTATCCCTGGAATACTGTTGTCATATTTCGGCCATACAATTGCATTTCTTTTCTCTTTTTTAAAAATACTAGCATGGTCATTGCTCAAAGGTTCTATCATCTCAAGTTTCATCAACTAAAGCTCATTCTTGTTTGACTCACCATTCAGCAAAGTCTCCCTCTTTTATTGTATCTGTTCCTGTATGCTCTAAAAACTTTTATTCATCTAGTCTTTTTCTCACACTTCAACCCTTTAGAACTCTCTCCTCTTCGTGTTTTCCTGACTCATACAGCCTTCAACTTTTTAAGTCTACTGTCAACCATTTTTTTGCTCTATAACTCTACTCTTTTTTTTTTCTAGCAACTTCCAACTTAAAAGTGGTTGCTTGCAGCCTGGGAGTTTCAGGATTAAAAAAACTTATACTCTATGATCCTAATTAAATGCTAGTCAATAAAAAAATACATTTTGATTTCCTATATTAGATTTTATTACCATTGAGAAATTTCAAATCTCTATCATCAAAAGAAGTTATTCTAAAATATGGCAACATAATGTTTTATGATTTTTGTCAATAGTTGTCAATAGTACCATTTATTCTTGTCACAATAAGAAGCTAACTCCCTCTAATTGCATGCAGGGGGCATTTGAGTTTGAAAAGGATCTCACTTCTGCTACAGCATGGGGCTCACAGTGGTTAGTTAACTTTAATTCAGATAAAACTCAATTTTTTTCAGCCAATCGTTATCGCAATAATTTAGACCTTCCTATATTTATGAACGGTAATGTACTCGATGAGTCATCTACCCTTCATCTTCTAGGATTAACTCTCACTTCTGATTTTTCTTGGAAACCTTATATCAAATCCGTTGCAAAATTAACATCTGCTAAAGTTGCATCTCTTTATCAAGCTTGACACTTTTTACTCTGGATTCTATTCTTTATCTCTATAAATTTCAAATCCGACCTTGTATGGAATACTGTTGCCATATCTGGGGCAGATCTTCTAATGATGATCCTTTCTCTTTTAGACAAGGTGCAAAAACGCATTGTAAACATAGTTGGACCTGCTCTTGCAGCCAACCTTCAACCTCTGTCACATCGTTGTAATGTTGCTTCTCTTTCTCTTTTCTACATATACTATAATGGGCACTGCTCTAAAGAGCTAGCGTCTCTTGTGCCATCTACTAAAATTTATTCTCGTGTTACTCGCCATTCAATTAAGTCTCATCCTTTTTCTGTTACTGTTCCTAAGTGCTCCAAAAACTCTTATTCGTCTAGTTTTTTTCCTCGAACATCAGTTCTTTGGAATTCGCTTCCTTCATCTTGCTTTCCTGAATCATATAACTTGTAATCTTTTAAGTCATCTGTCAATCGTTAACTTGTCTACAACTTTCATCTTTTCTCTTCCAGTAACTTTCAACACTAATTAGTGGTAGCTTGCAGCCTTGTTGGAAGCAAAGATGTTAAAAAAAAAAAAAAAAAGTTTGCTTCAGCAATGTCTTGTAATGTCCAATGGTAATTTGCTAGCAAATGTGGACTCAACTGGCTGTGATATCGTCTTTCTATGGTAGAAATGTCTTAATGTAATCTTTTACTGTTTCCATCACTAACAGCAATCAAATTTTCAGGTAAGCATCTTCAATGTGAATGAAGAAAATGTATTTTCAACAACATATTAAAGCTCAAAGCCTTATAAGTAGATAACAGCTCAATGACAATATCTTTATGACTGGAACACTAGCTTCAAAATTGATAAGTAAAAGGTTCTAGGTTTCTAGTGCTTGCTAGAAAAAGTAGAAAGTCCTTCATTGATTTATTATTAATTTAAAATAATAATAATAATGAAAGCATAAGGAAAAAATATTCAAAATACAAACCAATATGATTAAATAAAAATAGCCTAATGGTCAAAATATAACATTAACTCAAATAGCTTGAAAATCAATTTAATGACCATAAATTTTTCTATAACAAAAAGGCTAAAACCAGTTAAAAACAATATAGGTCAAGAACAGTAGGATATCTGAAAATTATTTCTACTTTTTAGAAAATGTTTTTTTTGTAGTTCTTCACAGTGGGTTGAAGTTTTTGTAGATCTAACTATGAGACACAATCTATTATGCCATTTTTATCATTTCTGGTGTATCGACCATATCTGAACTTTGAAGTGGTTCTGGTAGAGCCTTATTAGAAGAGGCAACAAGACTGTAAAGGAGACTTGATGAAACCAAAATAAATAACGTGATCAAATAAAGATCAGCCCTTAGAATTAGGGTTGGCATTCAGCAATGCCATCCTAACTGCCAACCTGGAAGTGTTTGAGGTTGGCAAAAAATTGCCAACCTCATTTTTATGTTTTATGGTAACCTCTTTGTGTCAAATTTTTTTTGCCGACCTAATGCCGACCTTATTTTTCTTAGTTCTAAGGGTTGAAACATAGATAACTAACTCAAAAGAGATTATCCTTTCATCCTAGCCAAATAAATTAAACACAAAGTATCCTAAATTATCATTTCATCATAGCCAAATGAATTATTGCATAGTTGCCAATAACTTGCCTGCCACACCAACGAAATACAAACTATTTTTATACTTGCCACCAATTCCACTTCTGTCATCTTTCAATCAAATATAAACAATATGGATGAATAACTTTTACCTCCATATGCTTTTTGAAGCTGGAAAAAAATAAATGAACAAAAAAACTAATAAGACATATTTAAAGCCAGTCCTAAAAAATTCTGTTGTTTGTGATGCAAATGGCTTGTTAAAACCACTTTATGAAATCTCATAGTTGAATGATTTTTTATATCTGTTGCAGTCAGTTGTTTATATTTTAATTTAAAAAAGTAAAATTGAAAATAATTGAAAAATAAATACTTGAATAAATATTATTGCATTCTTTCCTTCTGCTTCTTTTTCCTCTGATACAATAGCTCTTCCTTCTTCTCGTAAATAAATGCTCATTGCTTCGCACATTGCTTTTAAACCATAGTTAACACGTTGAAATAACCTGCACATACAGCCAAGGTCTGGAAATAAGCAATATAACAGTTTCAAAATTTATAATTTATATCAGCTGTATGATTAAAAACTTTAAATTATTTTATTGTAATTTTTCAGTTTATTATCAAAGAATTTATCTTTTTTTGCTTATAAGAGATTTTAATCACTTCAAAATAAAAAAACCTTTTTTACTTTAAATTACTTTTTTTATAACTCAATTCTTTTAAATGTTGCATAAAGAACATTGATAACCAAAGCACAAATTTAAAATACTTCATGAAGTCTTTTTTGTTTGAAAAAACAAAACAATGATTCAATTAACAAAAATAAACAAGAACTTGCAAATACTCTATAAACTCTATAAACATTGGTTAAATCAAAACTTTAAAATATCCAAAGCTATTACTACACAATGCATAACAACATATACATTAGGATTCATTCAGTAGTATGACACTATGATTTAATCAGCGATATGACACTAGGACTCAATTGAAGATATGACACTATGGTTAACATAGTATAATAGTGTTATATAAGAACCGTTGGTGTGTTTAATCAGTTGTATGGCACAAAGATAAATGGTATGTATATCACTAACTGAATTTATTTTTAAAACTATACTTATAAAAAAAATATTTAAATTAAAATATTTAAATTAAAATATTTAAATTAAAATATTTAAATTAAATATTAGTGTTGTGGCCAAAAGTTTGAAAATCTTTTTTTTTTAATTTTTTTTTTTTTAATTTGTTTTTTTTTTTTTTAATTTGTTTAACTAAAATTAAAAAACTAAAAGAAAAAATTTTACTTTTGCAGTCAGAAATAATTAACTTTAACTTTTTTTTTTTTGTTATAGTTATTAAGGTATTCCAACAAAAACCTATTTATTTACTGCTTCACAGCTGCTTAAATTTCATGAACAATGTAATTTCATGAACAATCTAATTTCATGACCAATGTAATTTCATGACCAATATAAAGCTTTAACTCAAAAGTAAATAAAGAATAAAGAAAATTCTAGAGTAAGACCAAACATGGTCTTTACTCTAGAATTTTCTAAAATGTAAATTAAGGTCTTGTTTGTCAAGATTAGTGTATTTTGTGAGTAAAACATGGTCTTGTTTGTCAAGATTTGTGTTTTTATAAGTAAAACATAGACTTGATTGTCAAGACTTGTAATTTTTATGAGTAAAACAAGGTCTTGTTTATCAAAATTTGTGTTTTCTATGAGTAAAACATTGTCTTGTTTGTCAAGATTTGTATTTTTTGGGAGTACAACATGGCCTAGTTTGTCAAGATTTGTGTCTTCTATGAATAAAACAAGGTCTTGTTTGTCAAGATCAGTGTATTTTTATGAGTAAAACATGTTCTTGTTTGTCAAGGTTTGTGTTTTTTGTGAGTAATGCATGGACTAACATACGATGAATGTTAAAAAAGATAATAGTTTAGATTTTGAAACTTGTTTAAAATAATAACATTTCACTTTTCACAATTATAAAATTATTAATAATTGTTATTAATAATTAATAATAACACTTTGATTTATTTTTATTTACATATAGAAAAAACAACTTTTCATGGGACTATTAGTTTCATGCCTATACGGCATGAAACTAATAATCATTAAATTAATTATCAGCCATGTACTATCTAGATAGTACTAGATAGTACATGGCTGATGATTGCCATATAGGCATGAAACTAATAGTCCCATGAAAAGTTGTTTTTTCTATATGTAAATAAAAATATATATTATATAAATATATATATAATAGCCATAATGTATTCACAAATATCACATTTAAAATAAAAACATAACTTAAAGTAAAAACATTTTTATGCATTCTGAATTTTTTAATGTATTTCTGAATCTGTTTTTGGCGTATGGGCTTTGGATCTATTGAAACTATTATTACTTTGGATCTATTGAAACTATTATTACTTTAATAAAACCTGTAAATGTATGCATAACTTAAATTTGTGTTATTATTCAAGGTTTTTTATTTTTTATTATTATTACAAAAAATTATAAATACAAAGGGAGAAAACTTATTGAATAATACAACAACAATAAAGTATGAACTAAAAACAAAAATTAATACTAAATTTATAACAAAATTTATTATTCAAAATCATTTGAATAATATTTCTTCTTTAAAAACCCAAGTTTTAATTAAACAGAACAAACCAATAATTTTTTTGAGTTTCCAAAATAAAATAAAGAATCTTTCTCACCTTCATATTTGCTGTTTTTTAACATATGCACAACACCAGAGTTCTCCATCTAAAAGATTTGTGTACTAAAACTTAAAAATAAACTATTTTAAATAAATTGCTTGACTTAATTTTTTAGGATATTACGTTTTATTTAATTGAGAACCACATATATATTAGGCCACTAAAAACATTGACTTTGAAATAAGCGGTCTTCCACTACATTACTACCAAATTTTTAAAAGTTTTGAAAAATTTCAAAATAATTACAAAATTCTTTGACTATTTGTATCATATAATTATGTAGATAACTAAAATATGTGAAAATGGTGTAGTGGTAGATAATTATGTAGATAACTAAAATATGTGGTAGCGGTGTAGTGGTAGATAATTATGTAGATAACTAAAATATGTGGTAGCAGTGTAGTGGTAGATAATTATGTAGATAACTAAAATATGTGGTATGGTGTAGTGGTAGATAATTATGCAGATAACTAAAATATATGGTAATGGTGTAGTGGTAGATAATTATGTAGATAACTAAAATATATGGTAATGGTGTAGTGGTAGATAATTATGTAGATAACTAAAATATGTGGTAGCGGTGTAGTGGTAGAGCACTAGCCTCATAAAGTTCATTCTGTTCACTACTAAACAGTGGCCTTGATTAAGGTGGTCAGAGGTTTTAGAGTTGAAGGATAGAGTGTTATAACAACAATAATAATTTAAAAAATTGGTCACTTCAACTGTAGCCCCTCGGTCTTGAGGTGGTAAGTACACAAAAAATCCTTTTTAGATTAGATAGATCAAAGTATTTGTGATTAGATAGATCAAAGTATTTGTGAACATTTAACATTTATAACTATTTAGTAGTTTATTTATTTGCTGTTTTTGATAGATTTGATACATTCTAGAAATTAATAGATTTTATATTAATTAAATAATCTAATTTAGTATTTACAATGATATAAATATATTGATATAAATATTGTTCATATAAATTACTCATTCCTTAACACATAATTTATATAAACAATAATTCTGTCAAACTAATAAAACTGTCAACAATAATTATAAGAAAAATATATAATAAAGCAGCACAGACATCAAGAAATTAAAAAATGTGTTGACATAAAGCTAAATCAGATGACAAAAATCCATATTTATGTGAAATTATAAAAAAAGTAATAAAATAAAAATAAAAATAAATAATTAATATTTATACATTAAGCAGTATATTTGTTTACATTTTCTATACTGATTTAAATGGTTAGCTACTGATTTAAGAAATAACTTTATTTAATTACCTCAACAATTGTTTTCATGTGTTTTGAAATAAGTTCTTCTTCAACAACCTGAAAAAAATCATATGCATATATATATATATATATATATATATATATATATATATATATATATATATATATATATATATATATATATATATATATATATATATATATATATATATATATACATATATATATATATATATATCAGGCTTGGTCGGGAAGCGGGAGCAATCGCTCTCGAATACTGACCACGGAAATTATATTTAGTTGTGAAAAACTAGCCACGTTTTTTAGTCGTTTTGAGAACATTTCGAAAACAAAAAAAAACGCGCAGAAATGATTATTGGACCAATGAGAAACAATTACAAAAAAACTAAGAAAAGAATATAAGTTTTAACACGAAAAAAATTATAGCAAAATAAATTACGTTTAGAACAAATATTTTTGAAGCATAGCTCTTTTATAATTTTTTTATAAAATTAAGCAACATTTTTTATATTAAGTAAAAACTTACGATTTCTTAATAAGGAAACAAAATGATCTTTTATTTATCAAAGAGTATAATATAATTTTTATTTATAAACTAATGTCTTATTTCCAGTGCTGGATTAAGGAGAGCCTCGCATTTTTAGGGGCCACGAAATTTTCCAGAAAACTTTTTTTCAAGTCATTTTTAAATTGTGGCACATAAAAAAGGCCTTCACAACAAAAATAGCCCTAAGCCCCGAAAAGTCCAACAAGATTCTAATAAAACTAATGCTAGTTTTAGTTTTATCTAAGCTAAATTATTTTATAAATAAAAAAGTTAAATTTTTTAATACCTATTTTATGCTTCGCGTAGTTTAAAAAGTTTAACATATTTGAAACAATTCTTCTTAGTAAGATGAACAAATAAAATAATTAAATCATTGAGTTACTGTAGAAATTAAACTAAATAGATAAAAACCATTTTAAAAAAATATTTTATGAAGAGGAAGCGGAACTGCTTCAAAATACTGCAGATGATGTTTAGTGAATGGGCTTTTTAATTTTAATTAGTATTTAAAACAGAAAAAAGTAACTTTAAGTTTAAGTATAACGAGTTTGTAAGAATGGCAACTGAAGGAAAATTAATTAGAGTTAGTAAACCAATATCTAAGAACTTGAAAACTTTTCTTTCTTGGGGGAAAGAATCAGTTATCGGGTACACAGAAGAAAACGAATTAGTTGTTAAAATATGATGTAAGATTTGTGCTAGGCACAAAATAGCTATATTAAAAGATACTTTAGTTAAAGGAGCGTTGAATTATTCGTTTATTGAGTGAGCTTGTTTGGTGACAAAACATCAAGTAAAATTAAAATGATTTATTTTTTAAACTTATCAGCCCAGGAAATAAATTTAGCATAATTTTTACTTATGAATATAGTTATTTTACTATGTTTCATTAAAAGTATTATGTATAAAGTATTATATAATGTGCCGTGAATTTATCTTATTAGTTATTACATTGCGAAGAGAACCGACTTTTTATTGAATTATTTAATTTTAATCATAAATTTTTTTGATAATAATGAAGGTTGATCGCCATCTAAAAGGACAATGTCATAAGTTGGCGGTACAAATTGAAAATAGGTACTCAGAAGATCCTGGAAGTAGTCGAGTCACCAATCTCAATATAGAAAACTCAGTACCACATAACAGCCGCGATGCGTTATCAAAAAAGTTAAGAACTGCCTATGAAATGGCTCTAAAACCGAGCATGCCACATAGCCATTTCGAGACGCTGATAAAATGAAATAATTATGATCTATATGACCTAATATGACCTGAAATATTTATTAAAGTCAATGACTGACAACTCGTTCCTATTAGCGCCCATTATTTTCAGTCATTGACTTTAATGGGTATTTCAGTTTGTGTATGTACACATAGTGACGGTGCAAGTGTCAATTTTGGAATTTATAATGAAGTGTTAACGCAATTAAAAAACGATAGAATATGGCTGATTAAAATTCACTGCGTAAACCTTCGTTTAGAATTATCTATAAAAGGTGCTGTAAAAGATATATCGCAGTTTAAAGAGTGTGAACACTTTTATATTTTAAATTATAATTATATTTTAAAACCAGCAGTGGATGTAACTAAGGCTAGCTTAGACAAATTAGGCAATGAAAGTATCAATGATATTATTGATTCATATTTACTAAAGTTTAATATCAATGAAAAAGATGATACAACTAATCTTGTTTCTTCATATTTCAAAGAAGACCACAAATTGAAAAAATCGAATCCAGAGTTCGTTCATATTGAGCTCGGCAACATGGCTAATCTTAACTTGGAATGTTTTAGTTTTGCCATTAAATTAAGAAAATCAACAATTGACATTCTGCCATTGATAAACAATAGATTTAGTTTGCTGTTAAATCCAATATTTGAATCAATGGATTGGTTAGATCCACAATTATGGACAGCAGACAGCATGTATGGTGATGTCAGCATATCTTTATTACTAAAGGAACTCTTTTACCTTCTAGAGACTGCAGGAATAGATTTTAAAATGGTTCTTTCGGAATGGAAAGCTACAAAACTAGTAATTAATACTCAGTACACCATTGCACTCACACCGCTGGAAATGTGGCAGAAATTTTTCCTTCATCATAGAATCAAGTTTCCAAACTTTTGTCTTCTAGTTGAACTTATGATGTTTATTTCTGGCTCTAATTCCGCTGTCAAACCCATTTTTAGTATTTTGACTGTAATACTGACTGACCGGCGATGATGAACCACAGATGAACCACTCAACAATGGAAGACTCTATAATAATAGCAGGGAATGACCAGAATTTTACTTACCAAGAACAAGAAGATATTTTTAGTCACGCTGGGGATATCTATTGAAGTAAGCCAAGAGTTTATTGCCTTGATTTAGCTAATGGTAGAAATATCACTGATTATCGTAGCACCAAAAGCAGCTACAGTAACGATTTAAGTTCTACATCTGAATCGGACGGATAAACATTTTATTTTACATTTCTTTTCTCATAAGTCACTTTATGTATGTAATTAGGTTTGTGTTTTGTTGTGTATGCTTTTGTTTCGTTCATGTATGTTTGTGTATATATGTATATATTACATAAAAAATACATAAATTTTAAATAAAAAATAAGAATATACAAATAAAATCTATAATTTATAATAAATTTTTAAAATTTTGACAATTTAAAAAATATATATTATAAAACATTTATTTTTGTAAACAAATAATAATAACTAAAAAGATTTATGGCTTTGCAGATGTGGCTCTAAGAATGAGCCAAAGTATTAAAATAACAGTTTGTTTGATAATATGTTCTTAAAACAATTTATGCTAGAAATCTTAAAACTTAACAAACCTTGAATGATACAACTTTTAAAACATTTTAACAAAATATTCTAGAACTTTATTTCGCTTAGTCAGTGTATTTTTTGAACCAATAAAATTAATTTGGCATTTTTTTAGTGTTAGCTTTTTATTCTTTGGCACTAGGATGGAGCGATTTTTAAAATTTTTAAAATTTGATTTGCCTGAGCTGCGAATTAATGTCTTTTGATGAAAAAAAAAAAACCTTTCTTTTTTTATTTAATTTAGATGAGTTTTTGAGGCTCCTCTTGGGATTCTAAATTTATAACAGATCCTAATATTGTTGAATTTTTTTTTCTTCTAAACTATATCAACCTGGTACTCAAAAGAAGCACTGTTTTATTTAAAAATTGACGAAAAATAAATAGTGTCGGTTTTTTTATAATAAAACCCCCTTCATCAAAATGGGGGTCTTTATGTCTTCATCAAAACGGGGGTTTTAAGGTAAATTTTCAGGGGTTTTAAGGTAAATTTATTTATCAATAATAAATTTTTTAACAAACTTATTGCTGATAAAACAAGCATTTTTTTCTGCTTTTTTTGAGTCCAAGGTTGAAATGGTTTTGAAAAAAAAAAATTCAAAAATATTAGGATCCGTCAAGAATTTAGAATCCAAAGAGGAACCTCAAGATCTTATCAAAATCAAAAAATATTTTTTTACTTTCATCTTATATTTAATAGACATCGATTCGTATCTTAGGAATATTGATTTAAAAATTTTTTTTTTTTTTTGCTATGAAAATCGCTTCACCCTATTCGGCACCAAGATGTTTTGAGAACATTCAAGTTTGTGTATGTTTCCATGTATGTCCGTAAAACAAAAACAATTTTGTTTTACGGAAATACATAAACTTAAATGTTTTCAAAACGACTAAAAAACGTGGCCAGTTTCTCGCAACTAAATATAATTTCCATGGTCAGTATTCAAGAGCGATCGCTCCCGCTTCCCAACCAAGCCTATATATATATATATATATATATATATATATATATATATATATATATATATATATATATATATATATATATATATATATATATATATATATATATATATACATATATATATATATATAGATGTATATATATATACATATATATATATGTATATATATATATGTGTGTGTCTGTGCTTGTGTGCGTACGTGTGTGTAGTATAAAGTTTATACATATACATATATATTAACTTTACTATGATATAATTAATAAATATATGATTAATAATAATAATATGTAGAGTTCTTAATTCTTATGCTTTAAAGATTAAATAAAACATTTTTCATTCATTTGTTGTCACACAAATTAATTTGTAGAATAAAACTCAAAATTAAATATTTGAATAAAGTAGAGTTAAAAGACAATGATCATTAACGCAGAGCAAAAAAAAGCACTTTTTTTAAATTTACTTTTAAAAATGACTTTCCTCATAAAGCATAAAGCACTCCATCAAACATTATTTATAACTCCATCAAACTTTCCTCATAAAGCATTATAACTCCATTTTTTTCTTCAAATAAATTAATTTTTAAAAAATTTCAAATAAAATACAGATCAAAATGTAGATTTTCTTAGTACCATGTAGTCAACTATACAACATGAACTGGTATTATATTCTAAGCTAAAAAACAAATAAAGTTAAATATAAGCTCTTTTTCATGCATTTAAAAATAATAAAAAATTTTTCTATTGTTTATAAAGCTACTCTTAAATCTTGGATGTTGAACGTTCCTTGTAATTATAAAAAAAGGTGTTTAAGCCAAGAGAATTGTCTATTTCTAACTTTTCTTTTTTAGTCAGCAATACTACAACCGGAATCTTGATTTCACTATGAAAGTAGAATAATTAATCTTTTAAGTCATTTGTAACTGTTGCAAAATCATTTGCAGTTGAAACTTTTTTTATATAACACTTTTAACAGTGGCTTCAATAACATCCACAACTCCTTTCCCATGGATATAGGGTCCAAAATCATTTTTTTTGGAATTTGCGTAGATTAACTATTTTTTGCGGATGCGTTTATTTGTATTTTTATTAGCAATTATGATTTTAAATATCTACTTTGTTACTAAAATAAACATGTCATTAATCTATCATTTTTGACATTCAACAGATCTTTCTCTTTTTCAATATATTTATTGACATCTGATTTGCAAGTAAATAGGCTGCCTTTGTAATTTTAAACAAGCTAAGATGTAATTTCTTTTTTGATAAATATTTTACGAACTATATATAATCTTTGCCATAGCAAGTGATTTGCAGAAGGGTTTTTTTTTGTAATTTATTTTAGCAGATATTTCTATTTAATTTTTTTATTTTTTTTAGTAAAAAATAAAAAAAAGATGTTAAAATGTTATTTTACGTGTAAAGCTTATAGTTGTTTTTTTGTTAACTGGCTCTGTCTCAGTTATTTCTGTCACTGGTTCCTACTGCATTTTATATTTTCAAATTTTTTAACAATGAGACACATTTCCCTTAATATTTCTTAATAACCTGAATCTTGATTTCACAATGGTTTGGATATTTAAGTATATATAATTTTTGTAATCAACGGTATTTCCCAAGCTGATTGCAATGAATGACATGATGTACTTAAGTTCATGTTACTTGTAATTATTTTTGAAAAAAGATACAATAATGAAATAACATCAGTTATTATATTATTGAATCTTTTTTTAAACTTATCTACTTTTAAACCCATCCACTTTCAAAACCACTTTCTTATTTTCTGTTGAAAAAAAAATAGCAAAACTATATTTGCAAGAATGATTTCTAAAAAAATTAATTTTGATTTATTTGTTAACTAGTTTATGATTTTACTAGTTTGTTACTTCTTATTGCAATATTGTTCATTTTAAGTCGACTTTACAAAATTAATAGCAAAGTATTTTCTGGCAGAGAAAATCAAAAGCAAATTTTTACACTAGACTTATTTTTGTTTAATTCAAAGTTATTATTCAAATTCTAATTCACTTCCAACAAGCAACCACCATTAAGCTAGGGATTACAAGAAAAAAAAAAGAATAAAGTTATAGAGCAAGAAAACAATTGACAGAAGACTTGAAAAGTTGTAGGTTGTATGAGCCAAATAGACACGAAGATGCAAGAGAGTTCTAAAGGGTTAAAGTGTTAGGAAAAAACTAGGGAAATAAAAGTTTTTAGAGAATACAGAGACAGATACAGTAAACGAATGAAACTTAACTGAATGAGTCAAACGAGAATGAGTTTTAGTCTATGGAAGATAATAAATTTATAGAGATAAAATAGATGATACACTCATAAACAAAGAGATGATAACTCCTTTGAGCTGCGACTATGATAGTACTTGTAGAAAAGAGAAAGAGATGCAACTTTATGACAATGGGAAAGAGGCTTAGGCCTAGCAGATAGAGCAGGTTCAACTACATTTACAATGTGTTTTTGGACAGAAGAGAAAGAGCATCATTAGAAGAACAAGTCCAAATATGACAACAGGGACAAATAAAAGATTTTGTAGAGGTAGAAAATGGAATCAGGAGAGAAAAATGGCGAGTGTGATAAAGAGAAGCAACCTTGCCGAATACTAATTTAGCAATCGATTGTATATATGGTTTCCATGAAAGGTCAGTAGTAAGCAATAATTGTTACAGAAGTGAGATCAGATTCAAGATTAGCTGTCTGCTCTAAGCAATAAAAAAGAGAAACCTTTTTGTCAAGACAGGAGTATAAAGTTGAGTCATAAGCAAAAATAGCTACTTTTGATGCAAGGTTTTCAGGAAGATCATTAATGTAGATGAGAAACAAAACAGGACCAAGGATAGAACCTCGAGTTACCCCAGAAGTTAAAGGAAAAGAAGAAGAGTATTGGGCTTGGAGGATGACTTTAATAAAGCGGTAAGAAAGAAAAGATTTGATAATCTAAAAAACTTTCCTAGATACACCATATGAAATAAGCTTATGGAGAAGACTAGCATGCCAAACTCTGTTGAAAGCTTTAGATAACTGGTTAAACAAAAAATATAGGATTTTGGACCACCTCTCCTTTAATGCATAGCAGCAAAATAATGTCAGGGCATTTTAATTTTATGCATTTTCTCTAAAATTTTCATTGATCTTAAAACATTTATTTTTAAAAATAAAAATACTGAAAATAAAAACTTCTGTAACATTGTCTAATACAACTCGATAATTTTATTTGCTTGCAACAGATGATTTTGTATGATTTCTTGAATCAGAAACTATTGCAAAAGATTAAATCTTGATGATGCCAAATGTAAAAATAAAAAGTAAAAATAAATGTAAAAATAAAGAGATGCCAAATGTAAAAATAAAAATTTGATTTTCACCAAGATAAGTTGTTTACATTTTGTTTAGGCAAAAACAAGCATAATTTTCTGACCAGCCAATTTCAATTTCAGTATTTTCAGCCAACTTGAATAACAGCTTTTAGTTGAGTCTTTTTGAATCGCTGATTGTATATTAAATATGAAGAGAAATTATTGACTGCTTCTTACATAATTATGAATAACAAACTTCAAAAAAATTATTTTGTGATAATAAAGTTGAGATTTTTATTTGTTATTTTTTTCAATATTAATGTACTCTCTTGTTTGAGGTTTCTGCCACAGCCTTTTAAAAATGTCTCAAATGATTTAAATTGGAGCAATAATTTATCGAACAAACCATAAGCTGTACATTCATTGCAAATGGAATCAAAACATTTTTCTGTGAGTTTTTTAAAATAAAATTTTTATTATTGAAAATACATCTGAACAATGCAAAAGTGATATTTTCACATAATATGCAAACACAAACATAATGCAGAACAGACAATACATATCAAGTTGGCCTTCACTAAAAAAAATTTTGAAAAATTAATGAATTATAAAATGTTTACACTACAAATATACAAACTTAATTTTTTATTTTCATTAGATAAACAACCAACAGATTTCTTAACTTTAATGTTTTGAAGTTTTAATTATTTCCTAAAGTATGAAGTAAAAAATTATATCAAAAAGACTAATAAAAATTGCAATATTTAACTAGTTGATTTTGGTGATATTTTTAACGAAGTTTACAAATTAATAAATACATTAATAAATATTTACTTTTTATTTTTTTTTAAAATTATTAAATTTGAATTACAAAATCTTTTGTTAATTATAAAACTATAGACATATAATATAAATTATAGATAAGAATAAAAAAATTAAAAATTAAAGAAAGCAAACTTTTCCTTTTTAACTTTTTTTTTCAACAGCCAGCTACGCAACATGTATCTATAGTAAACAAATTTGCTTATACGATGCTACACAGTTGAAAATTTTTTGGTAGCCTAAATTAGCTTTGTGATTGGTCTACTTAACATTAAATTTTGGAAAGACAAAAGGTTTTTAAAAACTAATAAAAGTAAAGTTTTTTGACACCAAATTTTTTGTAATCAAATTTTTTTTTAACATCAAAAGTAAGTTTTTTGACATTAAATATTAAATCAAAAAATTCTTTCTTGAATTTGAATTTATTTTTATGTATTTAAGTTATATTTTTAGACATCTGGACAATATACTTTTTCACAGAGACCTTTTTGTTTATTGTTTTAACATTTAAAAAATCTGATTTATTATGTTAAAGGCATTGAACTCCACATATATAAACAATTTTTTAAATTAATTTAATGTTTCAGTCATGTTAATAACAAAAATAAGCTCACCTTTACAATAGCTGGTTCTGAGCTAGAGTCTAAGCAGTGCCTTGCTCTTTCTCTCTCCTCGGCAATTCTTGCCTCTACCTTCCAAATATATACAGATGCACTGTTCTCAGCGAGGAACCTTTCACTTTCCAACTTAAAATTTTTAAAATTCACTGTTTCTAATTGTTTTGCATTGTATTTCAAAACATATATATATATAAACTTTTAAAATAAAAAATAAATAAAACCATAATTAAAATATAATTAAAAATAAATAAATATATAAACTATAGCTTTTTTTTACAGTTACAAAAAAATAAAAAATACTTTGTAAAATTCAGCTGAAACTTGTAAGAAATGTTTCTCAAACTCATCCTCATAGAATGATCTTCCGTTTATTCCAAGGGTCATCAGCATTTGACATGCATTCTTAATAGCCAACCTTAAATATCCAAAAAATTTAAATTAATAAAACCTAAAATATCTTGGTTTTAATAACTCATAAACTATTAAGGTTCTGATAAAACTGTGTTAAAAACAGTTTAAATCTGTGTTGAAATCAGTTTAAACATATATATGTTATAACTAAAGTTAACAACAACAATATTAAGCTGTTAAACAGCATTAACAGCAACATTGAGCAACAACAGAACTATTAATAGCAAAGTAAATCAACTTTTAAATATATTTATACATTTATAAAAATTAATAATAAATATTTATAAAAATTTTATACCTATTTACTACCTCCCCTTTTCTTTCACGTTCAATCAATGAAAGTAAAGTTTCACGAAGATTTTCTTGAATTGGAGGATGACACACTACCTAAAATAAAATAGATAAAGACATTCTTGGAAAAAAGTTATACATTAAAGCAACTTTAGAACTGAAATACACAATACCTGTTCTTTGAAAAGTATAAGTCCAAGGTCATAGACAGTAACAACTTTACTTTGTTCTACATAAGCTCTGTCCTAGAGGTAAGATTAGGTATGGTTAAGAGAATGTAAGATGTTATTTTTATTTAATAACTGAAAAATATTTTAATTTTTTGTTATTGATAAATACTAAATACTTATACATATATGAAGAAATGTTTTATATAAAATAAAAATAGAGAGTAGGAAGGCAATTAATTTTTTATCCAAAATAATGTTATTATAATATAAGATTTTTATTTATAGGAAAGTATAATTTACAATCACATTTAATAATGATAATTACTTCTTTATTATTATAATTATTTATTTATATTATTACTAAAGTATAATTTACAATCACATTTAATAATGATAATTACTTCTTTATTATTATAATTTATAATTAATAATGATAATTACAGAAGTATGGATAGGATCCCCCCTACCAGAGTATGGATAGGATAATGGCCTACAAGATGTATGAATAGGGGTCGTCCATAAATTACATCACACAGTTTTTGACATTTTTTTTACCCACTTCCCCCCTCCCCTCGTAATGCATCCATAACACTTTATTGCCCCCCCCCCCTCCAATATTATGCAACAATTTTTTCAACTTTTTTTTAGAGAGGTGGGAGGGGGTGCAAAAATTTTACAAAATACCAAAGGATTTTAAATATAATAATGTCTATAATTCTTTGAGCTTCTTTGAGTTAATTAATAAGTACTTTTTAGTCTGTTTAATGTTTTTTTTTACCCCAATAGTTCCGTTTAAAATTGTATAAATTAACATCGCTCTTCTAAACATGATACCAATTTTAAAAATCTATTTTCTGATATATAATATATGCAAAATATTATATATATATATAATATATAATAAATAATAACATATTATACATCCAAAAATATTAATTTATATATACAATTTTTGTCCAACAAGCATGGTCGAGTGGATTCTGCCTCCGGCTAGTAAACCAAGGGTTCAAGGTTCATTTTTCGGTATCAAAAAGTTTTTTTTTTAGTTATTGCACAAAGATTGTTTTTTTGTTGCTGCACACTTTTGTGCACCAACTAAATAAAGTTCTGCACTTGAACCATATAAATTCAAAGTACAGAACGTGCACTGCACAAACAGCCGTAACAGTCCATTAACTGGCTGTAACCAATAACAGGCTGTAACAGAATGTATACATTGACTAAGTAAGATTTAGGCGTAGTTAATATTACAACCAACATGTAGATACATCAACTGAGGGTTTTGATTTGGTCAGATGTTGCACTACAAAATCGAGACCCCTCCCCCTCATAAATCGTCACAAAAAGTCTTTATCAACAGCTGTGGGATTTGATTCCTTTAACCATTGGTCTTACAGTGAAACATTGTATAAAAGTTTTAATTTATATATAACATTGTAACTTAATTCTTAGATTAAAACCAAAATACCTAATTTTAGACTGAAAATGGACTTACTTCTTATTGTTGTGGTAGAATAGTATTGTCAACGAACATTAGCCATGAGTGGAAAGCCCCAGAGCAAAAAATTAGTTTTTGTACATGATAGTTTACAGTTTTATTTGATGCAACAATTTGAAAGTTCGCTAAGTAAAACAATTTGAAAGTTCGCTAAGTAAAACAATTTGAAAGTTCGCTAAATAAAACAATTTGAAAGTTCGCTAAGCAAAACAATTTGAAAGTTCGCTAAGTAAAACAATTTGAAAGTTCGCTAAGTAAAACAATTTGAAAGTTCGCTAAGTAAAACAACATAAAAAATCTGACTTCAAAAAACGATTCTGTTGATGACATGGTTAAACGATAATTTGATAGAAACTTTATTATCAAGTAGCAACCAATAAATAAATTTTACCAGGGAGTTACTTGCTTGAAAAGAATTTTGTGTTTTACTAAAGACTTATTTTGATTGTATTTTTACTTTTTAAAAAAAGAGGTTATAAAGATTTCATAAAATATACATTTTATTATTTTTATTAAAGAATAATAAGCTGCAAGATTTATAAATGTTGAATGTAAAGTGTTAATTTAAACATATTTTCAGTACACACCTCAATTATTGTAAACTTGATACATAATACACTTTTATGTTGATTTATAAAAAGTTATTTACATATACACTTTCCAAAAATTTAAAAATGCCTCTGACTCAATAAGCTGCTTTAATTAACTCTCTGACTCAATTGCTTTAATTAACTCTCTGACTCAATAAGCTGCTTTAATTAACTCTCTGACTCAATTGCTTTAATTAACTCTCTGACTCAATTGCTTTAATTAACTCTCTGACTCAATTGCTTTAATTAACTCTCTGACTTAAAAAGTTTAAAAATCAGCAATTATGATAAATTGGAAAGGTTCATTCAAAAAATCCATGATTGAATGTGTAGATTTTTTATTACATCAAAATGTCATTCTTTTAATTCAAAAAAAAACAAAAACTTTGGGGTAATATCGCATTATTGAAGTAAATGAATTTTTAATAATTCTGTTTATTTCAATAATTTATCATTATTGAAATGAAAGAATTTAATTACTATGTTTAATTACTCCCAATTGGGAGTAATTAAACAGCTTTAGTTTGAATTTGCTGGCATAATTAATAATGGTATGCAATTCAAAGAAAAACAACTATCAAAACAAGTACTGGCACTATATAATTTAGATGAAGACACAACTGATTTCAATATTAAGCCGTAAGAAACTTTACTTTCTGGAGAAAAAGTTGAAGGAGCTACATCTACAGGTAACAACTTAACAGAAGCTCTTCCAAACACAAAATATATTATCAAATTAGAAAAAAAATGTTCGAAAAAAAGGATTTTTATATTACAGCTTAAAACCATACAAAAAAAAAACAACCAACTTTTACATAGCAACCAACTTTTACATAGCAACCAACTTTTAAAAATCTAAATCTTTCTATGGTATATATGATGAATTTGAATTGTCCTAGTTGGAAATGTGATGTCAGATAACTAACTGGTAAAACTCTTGTTAAAAATTTTGGTCTACCTAAAAGATCATAAATGAAAGTACAGTAGTAGCAACAACTTAACAGAAGCAAAAAAAAGGATTTTGTATTCTCCAGCTTAGAAGCATACAGCAAATATATATCGGGTGGATAAATTTATATTAAAAATATATATCGGGTGGACACGGAAAAATCCGGTCAACTTTAACTTGAGATTTCTCTAAAACCATAAATGCTTTTTATTTCAATTTTTTTTTTATTAAATGTGTTTACATAAACTAGAGTTTCAACTTAATTTTAAGAGCTTGATGGGCTATTTGGCAAGAGATCGAATTTTATAGCAGGTTGATGCCATCATTTCGCAGATTTTTTCATTTTTCACCTTGAATTCAAAACACAAATGTATTATCAAATTTAAAAAAAAATGTTCGAAATAATATACAATTAAGAAAAAGCTGAATGCTTAAGCTATAAAATGATATATAATAGTGTAATTTTTGAGAAAGTTTTTTTTTTCTTTTGCCATCCACCTGGCTTACTGTGCATTGATGAAATAACAGTCAATTGTTAAAAGTTCTCATCTAAAGACTTGTTAAGATTATGTAATTTATCCTGATACATCTGAACATTTAACTTTTATTTTTTTCCAAAACTATTTTATCAACTCCAAAAAAAAAGAAAAGAAACTTTGGTTAACTTTATATCCATTGGTTTATGATTTTTTTGAATTATTTGAATTATTTTATCATTACATATAGAACTTTCTATAGTATATTAATTTGTATTTTTCTAGTTGGAATTCTGGTGTCATAACTAACTGGTAAAACTCTTGAGAAATGAGAAGTGCAGCTGGAGGTACATATGTTGACTGACTTAAATAGAACAGGTGCAGTGAGTGTTCATACATCAACTGAGGGTTTGGGTTTAGGCAGGTAGTTTTGCAAATGAAATAATATTTTTATGTTTATAGATTTAAAGGACACCATCATAATATAGGAGTTTGAAAAGAGAACTATTAAACCCCTGCATTAGAGTAACTATGCATTCTGCTAAGTCATTAATGAAGTTAACAGGATTAGCTACGTCTTAATATTTTTGTTATGCTTTTAAGATTTTTTAGAAGTACTTTTTGAACTAGTTTCTTGATTTACTTTATATATATTATATATATTCTTAAGAAAGTATTAGCGCGGTTTTTTTAATAAAAGTAACGCTATTGAAGATCTTCAATAGTGTTTCTTTTAAGTATGCAACTGTATAAAAAATTATATTTAGCATGGTTTTTACATGCGTTTACAAATGAATTGCAAGTTTAACTTAAAATGAATGCATTTCCAATTACTTTAAACGGAACCATGCTGAAACATTCTTTTTCCTAAAGCGTGCTTTTCTTAAATTTTCTTATTATCATTAAATTAATGTTTACTTGCTGTTTTTAAAGTTTTAAAAAAAATTTGCAGAAATATATAAAATTTAATAGATTTTATAGAACTTATGTTAACTTAATATTATAAATATAATAATAGCATATCAGGTATTTAATAGTAACTTATTAAATTATAAATTTAATAACTTATTAAATGCTTAATACTATATTATTATTTTTAAATATTTAAAAAATAAAAATGTCAAAATAACTTTTATTTTATTTTTATATAATTCCCTTTTATTTAAATTTTATCAAGTTTATATCTTTTTTTTATAATTTAACTAACTAAATTTAGAAAAATTCACTATTTTGTATTAATAGATAACAGTTTACAGTGAAAAGGTTATTGCTTATTAGTTATCATTAATTTGCGCACACATTGCAAATGCATGAAAAATTGTTTTAAATTAATAAAAAATTGATAAAATTCGATAAGTATCTTTGATATATCTAATTATTATATATCTTATTAACTAGAATAAAAGTTATTTGAAAATAAAACTCCCTTATAATTAAATAAAAAAAATTATTTTAATAATAAAAAAAAAAAATTAAAGAAGTTAAAATAAAACTGGCTTATTCTGGCCGACACACGGGTTCGAAGAGGAGGTGCGCAACCATCTATTAATGAAAAAAGTCCTCTATATCTAGAATTTCTCTTAAATAAAAAAAAAAAAAAATTAAAAATTAAAAAAAAATTAAAAAAATGTGTATGTGTGGAGGGTGTGTGTGTGTGTGGATATTTGACATACCTCTTAAATTAGATGTTCATCAATAAATAAAGAAACGAACATCAACGTTTATTTAAAAAAATTTTTGCGCCCTGTTAGGAATACAATATATCACCGTAGCAACAATGAACAAATAAAAAAACAAAAGAATATCAAATAAACTTACCATATACATGAGAATATCTCTAATCATTACCATAGCTATCTGATGATCATTCCATGCAATGTTTAAGGTTTCTAAAAAGTTGTTTGTCATGCTAGTAATTACATCTTTTCGCACCTAAGAAATACAAAAAAGTATTTATAACTCATTTGAAATATAACTTTATGTATATTTCAAACAACTACAACAATCAAACCTTTCCGACAAGATGATCAGTAACAACTTTGCGAACACCATTATATAAACGTTCTCCATGCTTATGTAATACCATAGTATATGCATTCCTATATACATATAAGTACACATAACTAAGCACTTAACAAAAAATAAATCTTTTAAGTTACTTATACGATATACTTTTAATTTACTTATATAAAATAAATAGGACATTTTTAAAAACAATACATGTATGCAAATAAATAATAACACTTGAATATTGAATAACCTTAAACATTTTTGACTGTTTTGAACTTTTACTTGGCTTTCTGAATTGTATTTTTACAATACTTTTAACATTTACTAGATGTTTAATTTCATGATTTAATAAGCTATGTTTAATTTCAAGATTTAATTAGATATGTTTTATTTCCTGATTTAATTAGATATGTTTAATTTTGTTTAATTCTAAGAAAACTATAATTTGAAACTTAAGAACTTTTTAATTTATTTAATAAAATCAGCAAAACTAATTCTTATTAATTAATATTACCAAGGATGCTCATAGTTTTTCCAGGGAAATGGAAAAAATATGAGCATCCTATAATAGTCTTATATATTATCTATCAAAGACATTTCACTCATATCCCATAATGCTATGCATTTTGCTTACTTGATTCTTTTGATATCTAGTAAATTTTAAAGAGAAAATAGTTGAATAATCTTTGTTTTTCATCAACATATTGTGTTCTATATTTAAGTATACAACATATAAACTGCAATATAAAAAAAAAATTTAATCTATAATAAAATTTAAAATATTTTTTTTCCAAAGATACTTAAAAGTTTATCTCATTTTTAATCTTGCAAAATTTTCGGTCTTTAAATTAAACTGTTCACACATTTTATGTTCAATTAATATCTTAAACTAGATCTAAACTAAACTAGAACTTTCTTGAGATTTCGCAGACTATGATTTTTTTTCAAAACCATTGTATGCGCATTTTTGGGAAAATTATATGGAAATATTTAATTTAATGGAAATATTAACATTTAATGGAAATAGTCAAGATTTTATTGTTAATTTTTTAGCACTTCAAATTATGAACATGAAAAAATATGATTTTATCAGTTTAAAGAATTTAAGTATTCTACTTTTCTAAGACATTCCTGAACCAGCGTATTATCAATTTTTGTATTTCATCTCATGAAATTAATAAAGTTAAAAAAAAAGAATTAAAAAATGTTAAAAATTTTTGTTTATTTTTTGTTAAAAATAATTTAATACAAATTTTTTAGAGTTGAAATTTAAGCTTTTATAAAAATTATGGATTAAAACTTATTCATCAACAATTTTAGAAACCTGTACTAATTTTTTTGGTTGTCAATTTTAAAAGCAAATTTAGATACATATAACAGTCTTCTCCATTTAAAATTTAATGTCAGTGCGCAAAAAAGCACTGGCAGGATGGTTATTTTTAAGTTAGCCTACGCAATTTAAAAAATTTTTTCTGCTATTTAAATATATATAAAAATAGTGAAAAGAACGCTTTGAATAAATACTAGATAAAATAATTTTCAAAAAAACTGGTAAAAAAAAACAACCATTTTTCATAAAAGTTGAACAAATGAACAAAAGAGTTTTGTTGAAATTTAAAACAAAACGCTTTTTTTTTTTGGCAAGCACTTTTACTTTTATTTTTTATGTGCTTGCCAAAGTTTTGCGAGTGTGTAGGCGAGCGCCAAAAGATGACTGAAAGCGCTTTACGGAGAAGACTGGATATGTAAATTTATTAATAAAATTTAAAAAAAAATTATTTTAACAATATTTAATGGAAGATGATTAATGTAGATAAGAAACAAAACAGGAACAAAGATAGAACCTTGAGGTACCCCAGAAGTTACTGAAAACAACAAAGAGTGTTGGCTTTTGAGGATGACTTTAATAAAGTGGTTAGAAAGAAATGATTTGATAATCTCAAAATGTCTCCCAGATACACCATTAGAAGCAAGTTTATGGAAAAGACCAGCATGCGAAACATACTGTCCATGGTCATACTGTCCATGGTCCAGTTTTTTTAATTAGAAACCTCAACAACTAAAACAAGTTGGTCACTCAAATTTCAATTCAAAAATATTTTGAGAAAAAAAATATAAAAATAGGACAAAAATATTTTTAAACAACTTCAACCAACATTAATGCATTGCAAACTAAACCAATTCACTGAGTCTAAATCATGAGTTTCATCAGAAGTTGAAACTATATGAGAAACAAGATTTTATGTCACAGACACATATAATATGATAAAACCCAACAACAAAAATATAAAAACTAAATAGCCCAATGTATTTTTTTAAGTCTAATTTATGTTTATTGAAAACGTGCAGAGCAATTTTCCAGTTCAATGCTCAAAAAAAAAAAAGTTCTTTGAGATCACAAAACAAAAATGATAAATTATCATAAACTTCATAAACTTTGGCAGGCATCCAAATTAGTTTGTACATAACTATTCTAGAGTATATAATGAAGCAGCTTCCTTTATTTTATGATATTCATCAAACACAAAGAACCTTTAATCAAATGAAGCTTTAAAGCAAAAAATTATCGAGGCTTTGAAACCATAGAGCAATATTTACATAAATATCAACAACAAACAAACTGTCAAAAACAACATAAGTCATTTCAGCTTCTTTCTCTTTTCCTTCATTAGCATTAATGTTCACTCCAAATTTTAGTTTCTTCTCACTTTTTTTTTTAAAACATTTACTCTGCTGACGAAAGTATGCTGTTTTGCTTTTTGGCACATAAGACAAAGTCATTTTCTAGCATCACTAATGTTTTTCTATTTGAGATTTTAATCTTGGACAAAATGATGATTTTCGTGTATCTTGATTTGATCGATATTGTATTGCATGTTGTAATGTTGTTACCTCCCTTTCATGCATGTTGTAGTGTTGTTACCTCCCTTTCTAATGCATGAGTTGGTATTTTTGATATGTAACTAAACTAAACTAAATGTAACTTTCATTTTTGATTTTAATTATTTTGGGGTTTAAGTTTTGATAAGCATAAAATATTGCACAACATCTTGCACAATCTTGCATCTGACAACACCATCTGTTAATATATAGTTGATATATTAGCAGTAATAAATTAATAATTGACACAAAACCCCTTTCCGAGTGTTTATAACTTATTTGTAAACTTTATTGTATATATTCTGTTAATAACTCAGTCTAAACTAATTTAATGACAGAACTCAGAACACTTTCTTGTGTTGATGCCTTTGAAGTAAAAGTCATCTAAGTGAAAGTCATCCATTCTTTCAATCATAGCCAATAAAAACTTACCAATCCAGATAAGTGAGATAAGATGATGCAGCAGAGTGTTACTCATTGCTTAATGTGTGGTCTGAGCATAAGAACTCAGTAGAAAATAAATACTCATATTAACAACCTCACAAGCACACATCTTTCAAATATTTTTTTAAACGACTATATCAAAATTGAATTTTAAATTCTTCATTATCATTCAAAATAACTGTTGGTAATAGTAATATTTAATAATATAAAGTTTAATAAAAGCAGTGTGTTCAGAACAAGACTTGACAGCTTTCAATTTAATGAGCATCCTAAGAACCATCTGCAGAAAATGGCTATTCGTATGAGATAGCATTCAAGCATCTGTAGAACTTCAGAAACGATTAAAACATTCTTGTTAAATAGCTAAAAAATTGGAAAATTTTACAAACTTAAAAGATTTGCATGATAGACATTTACTAAAGCGAAGTGTTAGTTATTAACAATTTTTACAAAAGATAGTCAAATAATGAATAATCTTTATACCAGCAGGTACCCAAGTACCCACCCCTTGGTTACTGCATTATTAAATGACAAGTAACTGTCATTTTTAATTTTAAAATTCATTTCATTCATTTTTAAGTTAAAAATCATAAATGATAATATAACAATTTAACAATATTTTCACTTGGTATGTGAAAAATTTAACTTGGTATGTGAAAAATTTAACTTGGTATGTGAAAATTTAACTTGGTATGTGAAAAAAGATCTTTAAGATCTTTTAATAGCTATTTCTTTATCACAATCAGAATTCTTGAAAACATTAAAATTAATGAATGTTTTTTGAATTTCCGATTCAAAAGTGCACTTATTATTCCTTATATTATGTACAATGTTTATGTAAATTAGAACTCCTCCAACTTATTTATTAGTTTTTCTCTTTGACAAAACTGTTTCAAAATGTTGATTAGGGCTGTCCAAAAAAAATTTTTTTTTCAGATTTGATTGCATAGTTGTTTATTTCGTGCCATTTGACATATTAATTAACTGTGCAAAAAATCTTTCCGATCAGATAATGTTTAGGGGGTGCTCAATGACCATAAAGTTTTACGAAAAATGTGAAAAACATGGAAAAAGTAACAAAGTTCCACAAATTTCTAAAACCCGGTTAATTAAATTTTTCAGATTTGATCAGTTTTAATTATCTCTAAATATTAAATTCTGAATACAAATTACAATCCACATCCACTTTATACTGGTTTATTAGCAGAGAAATTAATGAAATAAAATACTGCAATACGACTAAAGTTCTGCGGTTTTTGTTATATCAGAATTTTTCCAAAATAAAACACTAAGATTTTTGACTCTTTGTCATTGATTAAAATACGAATTATAAACAAAAAAAATTATTGTAAAGGAGTAACAGTTTCTCAAACCGTTATCAACTACTAAGTAGGTCAACTCAAAAACATATGAGCAATTAACATTTAATTATCGTAATGTTATAGTTCGTGCAATGTTAATGCTAGCGAAGACTATAACTCTTAAGAGTACACTTTCTGGCATCTGGCACTCGCTTTCTGTGATCCTCAACCACCTTAATTAACCTCTGCATTTCAGATTCATTCCTTGTAATCGATTCATTAAACATCGACATTAAAGCCACAGATCGTTCGGCAGCATCATTTACTACTTTCAATGAATATACTAAATTTTTTCCTTCTTGGTATTCTGGGGAATCATTCCAGGTAGCTGGATCGTTGTTGAACAGAAAATCAATATCAACCTTCATTGACCGCAACGCACTTGCTGAAACTGATGTCACCAG